TCCCTATCGCCCTGAGCTGTAAGATCAGTTTACCTCCTAGGGTGTCCCTTTCCTCACATGGAATCCTGGGTTGGCAGACCTGTCCCTCAAGGTTTCCTATGCACCACAACGCAAGAGCAATTTCTAGCTTTATGAAAGCGGCAAGGTGTCAAAGAGTTCAGGTGCTCAATGCCATTTCAACATGGTCTGATGGTTACTGCAAAACCAACTGGATTGTCAGAACTGCACCCCCAATCGTACAGTCGAGGATGGTGTAGTGCACAGAAGAGCGGGTGTTTTGGATTGTCCTCAGAAGAAGGGAAGTCAGCAGGGCAGGGGCCGTGTCTATCTTGAGTCCACTGTGCCTCCAACAGTGACTGGGTAATAGCAGATGCTCAATAAATTTTGTGGCTGGCCAGTTGGATGGATGAATGAACGGATGGAAAAAGAACAAATGAATGAAGACTCATCTAGCCCAACCATCTTTCCAATTCTCTCTTTCTATAGCCTCAGGTAAAGAAGGAGCCATGCCTCAAAGACAACGCTGGTACAAGAAATCCATTGCAAATTTACCCCCCTTTCCCGAGCCCAACAAGACAGGAACTATGGAGAGACCATGCCCGGGGATGCACGATGCAAGGGGTGTGCACGCTAATTAGATTCCTGCCGGTTAACATCTGTGTTCGCATGCAAACTCAACACCTACCAGCCACAGGTGTCCTCACAGGGCAAACGTGCTTTTTGGTTACAGCACACATAAATTCGGGATTGGAACTTCTCTGAATGCCTCTAGCTATTCATGATGAACACACATTACTATGTTCTCAGGAGTTCCTTTCCTCTCCTCCAGCCTGCACTGTCTGCTTAGCTGAGGTTGGCAGCTATGTCTTTTTCCTCAGCCTGTCTCTTTCACATCAATCATTTCTTAAAAGAAAGCAACACATCTATTTACCCACAAAAAGCACGTGTGCAGCGCCACCTTCAGGAAGAGGCGGTCTCCGTGACAACGGCTGTCAGCATCAATACCATCCCCAGCCACGGTGCTAAGCACACGCCACAGCTCCCACTGAGCCCTGGGCAGCTCTGGACCACCATCCACATAAGGGAGGGACACTCCGAGTCTCAATCCTCATCTGAGGTGACAAGGCCAGTGCGGGCCAGGGCTTCAGAGCCAGGCGGGGTGGACTCTGAAGTCCATTCTATCCGCATAATGCACTCCCTCCTCCCCAAAGGAATTTGTATGCTCTGTGGTGAGGCTCTGGAGAGAGGTTGAGTCTTAAACAGTCTGGTTCATTTTAGTAAGAAGGTTATTTTAGAAAACTGTAACATACTTCTAAACTTTCTGGCTCTGAATTTACATAAGACACCATTTTTCATTATGTGCATTGAGCACAGGTTGCTTGGAGCCAAGTTCATATGGCAGATGTTACATTAACCAAACAAAAGGAGGAGCCTCGCTCAGACAGCACATGTCCCGTGCACCGCTGATGTGGCTCAGGGGGCACGTGAGGTGTGCACCACTGATCAGGGCTCAGGCAACTGCAACCAGGTCCCTTCCTTTCTGTCATAATCAGGAAGCGGGCCTCTAGGGCCAGGACTGGCCCTCTGCACTTCAGGGCCTGTCCCAGAAGACGTCTCTGTCACATCAACACTGTTCATTATGTGCTGAGGCTGTAAACCACCCTTCACATCTCTAGGTTATTCTGACAGCCACTTCGACAGGTATCAAACCCAAACCCATTCTAAATTAAACTATCGCAGGTCCACCACCCCTCCCCGCCGCTCATCCCTCTCCGTAAACTGCGTCTGAGGGACGACTCCTTCCTCCTCCTCTTCAGTGTCTAGGCCGGGAGAGGCTTTTCTGTCTGCAACAGCCTCAGGCAGCTTTTCCTCTTTTTAGCCAAAGGAGATTCAGTACCAGTCTCATTGGCTGTTCACTGCAACATGACTCTGGTATCTACTTATGAAAAATAAACTGCAAACAGAAACCACTTAAATGTCCAACTATAAGCAATAATACATCTGCTTAATAAAATATTATGCAGTCACCAAAAAGATGGTTATAAAAACTACATTACAATATAAGAAAGAGCATTTGATGTCAAGTAAAATAAAAATACAAGACCTGTATATGCCAAATAATTATGACCATGTACTCTCTTACCTTTTAGGGGGAGGAAAAACAACAGAATATGAACACTGGACTTCTTCAATTGTAGAAGGGAGCAGATTTCTTATTATTTCTAGGTCCCCAATCTGCTTTAATATCTATGCTTATTTTTTAATGCATTATTTTCATGATATAAAAATAGTTTAATTTTAATAAGAGGTCACCGAGAACCAGCAGTGTCGAGTTTTTAATGACCACTAAGCGAGCGACCTGTCCCACCGCCACCCAGCGGACGAGGGGCTCACGCGACCCTCAGGCTCCTGAGGCTAAGGAGTGTCTTCCACTCCCGGGCCTGTCTTTTTAACCCACTGCACACGGAGCACCAGAATCAAACTGGACACCTGGGCTCCAACCCCCTGTATCCGGGTCCTAGCAGGCTGGGCCAGGCAGGGACGTTTTAAAATGCTGACATGACATAACTTTTTTCTAGATAAAAATGATACAGCTTCCATTTTTTTGGACCCACTGTGTATTAAGAACTGCAAGTGGTTTTTCTCATTTCATCAAATGCAATCCCCTCGTCAATAATTCTCACGAATGCCACCACTTTACAGACGACCCAGGCTGTGCCTGCTATTACATAAGAGGGGCATGCAGACCCGCATGTCCGACTCAGCATGCACTTCCTGCACCTCAGCCTTCCCGGGACAGAGGAGAGTGGGCGGACCCCTGCCACAGTCCCGAGGCCAGCCTGTGACCCTGCCCACACTGTGAACACACTGTACTCAGAGAATTAACAGCAAGCAGGAACGCACAAAGCCAGCCTCCTTAGGTGCATGCACTGTTAGTGGGGACACAAGCAGGCAGGGTTAGAGTGACTGGTTAGTAACAGGCATTAGTGCACAAATATGATCATAAAGTAGCAAAAATGCTTTGGCCAATCAGGTGCCTTTTCCTTACCATTAAATATTCCAATTTCAGTTCTGACTGATTATGGCAGGTCATACATCTAAATTGTTTAATAAAATGTTGAAGTTAGAACACTCTGCTAAAACCCCCTACTTTAAAAACAGCAAGATGTGAACTCCTGTACGTGTGATGCTAACGTTCCCCTGCTGTTTAGAGTAACAACGAAGAGGAGGCTCAAATGACGCAGATCGCCCACCCAGGTGCCGCCCCAAGCGGCCAGCGGCTGGCCCACACCCAACAATCTCCCCCAAGAGCGTATCCAAACCCCAGCCTCCATTCAGCTGTTTAAGATTAGATGTTCTAAACCAACAACCCATTTTCAGAAACGTGTCTGTGTAAAGCTTCCCAGGTGAGAACCGACGTCGTGATAAAGGACTGCCTGTCAGAGGAAGCGCCATTTTTCCTTGAAATACCCAACGCTGTGTCCGAGAACGGTTCACAGCAGCACGACCAACACCCATGACCCATAATCTAAACACTGGTCTTGTGTGGGCTTCTAACCGCAGTCCAGGAACTTTAATACATTAGCAGTTAGTTCTGTAACACAGAGAGAACTGAGGTGACCTGGGATTTCTTAAGAGAATTTAAAGCATAGATTGATTTTTAAACATTTAGCTAATAAAAAGAAAATTACTTTTACTAGAAATTTTTACTTATTGGATTATTGTAAAGTACAGAGCATTACAGTGTTGAAGCAGATCAAAAATAAAAAAACCTCTGGAATAAACACTACCCAAGTAACAAAAAGGTATTAAAAAACAGACGTAATTCTGGTTCACAGGCTTTCATCTAAATAAAAGGAAAAATCTGGGGAAAAAAATATTTTTTAAAGCACTGGAGGGCGCCTGCTGGTCTCGAACCATCCTCGGGAGCAAGACTGGTTGGCACGTGAAGGCTGGGCTCGAAGGAACCGCTGAGCTAAGTGAACAGAGCCGCCCCGGGAAACACGCTGGAGTGTTCCAGGCACAGCCTCGGTTAGGGTGCAGTCCCTCCACTCTGTGACTTGCACACTGGGCAGCCCCCGACTTTTGGGCTCATCTCCAAGGAGTCGGGAAGGCAGAACCACGCCTGTTCCCTCCTCCGTGTCTGACAGGGTGGGCTCCTGTTTTCCCCACCTGGTTTCTCAGAAAGTCGTCCTCAGACCCAAACTGTGCACAGTCTGGCTAAGCAGCCCACTGCAGGCTAAGGCTGGGGTCCGCTGAGGAGAGCCACTGTACACTACAGCCTTACGCCATCTGTGTGTGGGCCCAAAGGCAAGATTCAGAAGGCCTTTTAAAAGCTCATGTGGTTTAAGAAAGCAAATGGAAGCATGCTAGAATGCAAAGGGATTTAGTGTGGGATTTTTGGAAGATGATTTTTTTTTTGGTCCTGAAAATTTAAAACATTAAATTAAGAAGCTCCATGCAGTTAACTTGCACTTAAAATTAAATTTTATACAATTAAATATTAAAGCTCAAGACCAAGGGACACATATCCCATGCTGACTACACCCGAGCCCTCCTGGGCTGGATGTGACGAGCCAATCACTGACAGGCAATCATGCCGGGAGGAGCAGATGCTTCTGAAAGGCTTACCCAAGAGACACAGTCTTAGCATCTTATCGGAGCACCTGAACTCGGGCTCTCAGCCGACTGACATCTACCCCTGGGACCCGAGCTCTGCAGCTCACAGAGCCTCTGACAAAACCAGTCCTGTCCCCCTGCTGCAGAGCGAGCGGCGCGGGCCAGGGCTGCTCCTGGGCACCAGCTCAAAAGCACACACACACAACACGGCTAGGCAGGGCAGCGGGCAAGCTGCTTGGGCGCTACCAACCTTAGTCCCGGGAGCCTTCCCCACCTGTGAGGGCATCTATTGGGAAACAACAAACCAGATGTGGCTTTATTTTTCTAAAACAGCAGAGGTGTCATCAGAAAAAAGTTATTAACCATGCAAATTATACATTATAGTCCTGAAAAAAATGTTATCAAAAGATAGACTAGTTGGTTAACCCTCATTATATGGGGTACCAGTTTGGGGTGCCCTGGGTTCATTTTCAGCTAAGAAGTCACTCAGTATGGTTGGGAGGCCAGAGATATGTTCAGCTTCCTCTGTAAAAATAGCTCCACTAAAACAACAACAAAAAAGAAAAAAAGAAATAAATGAAAATAGCTCCATTGAGAAAAATTTAAAACTCAGCTGTTATACAAAATTGAAGTTCCTAAAAACACATTTAAAGAAAAATCCATTCATCCTACCCTTAAATCAAATAGTAAATCAAGTGCTTTGGGTGGAAGTTTTATTTTAAAATCGTAATTAAATAAGTCATGCTGTGGACTGCCTGTGAAGAATGTCATTTGGGCAGCCACTGCATCGGTGCGTCAGCACCACACCCACAGGGTCCCAGGGACCGCGAGGACATCTTGCCTCTCCCGCTCCCTGGTGATCAAGAAGTCCCTTCCCTGAGCATCCAGTTCGCACAAACCACATGTGTTAAAGTTATTCCTGAGATGCTTCACCATGAACACGAGGAATTCACTGAAAAATGAAGCTCACGCTCGTGCAGTACAGGACCTGCCACCTGGATTAGGCCACTGTCCTCAAACGTACATGGAGGCAGGTCCTGAACACGCACTGAAACTACCCATCAGGGCTCAGCAGACTTCCGGGCTCTGCACCGTGCGCCTCTCCAACGGCTCGGCTGCTCCAGCACAAGCAGCGGAGACCACCGGGCGTGGCCCACACACAGGCTGGGCCGGGTTTGTACTAACCTGCTATAGACCAGCCTGCAGGAGAGGGTACAGAAGCCTGGTGCAAGTTCCTACTCACCCGTCACTATTTTGGAGGCAGTAGGCACTGCGCTGGAGAGGCTGCCATCCGCTGCTGGGTGGGCCCCAGGAGGATGTGGGGGTGGGGGCATGCTGGGTCGGTTCCTGGGCTTTGGTACTGGTCTCGGTCTCGGTAAGGTCCCGGCATGTGGCTGCGCAGTCTCAGGGTGGCCCGCTGCAGGGTGCTGGGCAGCTGGCAGGCCCGGGCTCTGCTTAGCTAAGGGCGGAGTGCTGGGGGGGGTGGGCGTCCTGGGTGGGGTGTGTGTGGGCTGCTCCAGTCCCTGCTCCCCCGGCCTGGCCTGTGATTGCGGCGCCTGCGTGGGGGGCTGTGGTGGAGGGTGACTGGGTGCCTGCATAGGAGCCAGGCTGCCTGAGGCTCTCCGGGGCCCACACAGCTGTGAGGTGGCGCACGGCTGCCCGGGGGCTGGGCCTGCGTGCGGGACAGGAGGAGACGGACTTCCAGTGGCTGGCTTCAGTGACAAGCTGGGTGCCTGCTGCGCTGTCCCTGGGGCGCTCTGGCCCCCGGGCTGGCCAGGAGGTGGGTTTCCTGGTTTCGGGGGTGCTGGAGCAGGTTTCTTAACAGCTGCACAAAGAGGGAAACACCTTTCAGTAAGAACAGCACAGTGATAGCCAACTCCCCTGACCCAGGGACCAAGGGTGGCCTCACTGTTTAAGCCACGCTGCTGTCGCTGCTCCTAATAGGACGGATCAGGTGGCACTTTACCTCTGTGGTTTTCCTCCTGAAGCCCAGAGACCCCATCTCACCAAGAGAAAAACATGTGACAAATGCAAATTAAGGGACTTCAAAATGCCTGCCTAGCGCCCTCCCAAATTGCCTCGGCCATGAAAACTCCAGGGAAGACTGAGAAAGAGAGCAGAGGCCATTACACAGACAGGATGACTGAGTGCCAGGTGCCCTGGGTGGGAGCGAGCCTGGGACAGGAAATGGCCATCAGTGAAAAACTGGGGGCATTTGAACAAAACAGGGACTTTAGTTGGTTTCCAACTGTGACCAATGAGGTAAGAAGTTAACACTGGGGAGTGGGGAAGGGCACACTTAGCCCTATTTTTGCAACTCTTCTGTAAATCTAAAATTATTCCAGAATAAAAAGGTTATTTTTAAGAAGTACATGACACATTTATAGGCCTTTCAATACCTGTCGCTTTACAGACTCAGCGGCCGCCCTGCCCACAGGAGGCGCTGCTCTAGCCACTCAGCGCCCCGTCGGTGCCTGCACTTGAAGGAGAGCAGGGAGGAGAGAAGCGAGCGAGCTAAGGGTGACCCCAAGCACGACTGTCTGCTGCACACATCACAGACACTTGCTCTAAGTTCTCTTCTCCTAGAGGGCTTCATTTTTTTTTTTTTAAATAACAGAAATTCTACCAATTCCAGAATCATTTGAGCTATACGATAATTCTAGATAAAAGTAAAACCCATCGGGCAGATGGCCTCAGAATTACTTCTCTAGGGGAGCTGAATCGCACCCTCCCTCCTGACACCAGCCGAGGTCAGCGTCACTAAGGGTGGGAACTTGGTACTGAGGAGGGTGGGATGGAAAATGATGCTGTGGAGTCCTGGTTTGGGGCTGGGAGGGGTGGTGGAGAGGAGAGACTGAAGCATTTTTCAAATTCTGCTGAGGTTCCACCAATACTTCCCCATGGGAGAGGGAAATGAAGGAAGGAAATGACCTTGCATCGCTCACCTAACACATCACCAGCACCAAGGCAGGCCCTTTGCATAACTGTCTCACCAAGTGTCACAAGCTCCCTGCAAGGCAGCACTGCTGTACCCATTTCACAGTGGAGAAAACCAAGGCCAAGTGTTTGCAAGAGGTCACACAGCTGTTCAGTGGCAGGACAGAGGCCCACCACCATGTCCTTAGACTCTTTTCCTCTTTCTCATTCCTGTAGTGCCTGGCTCCCTGCTCACAGGCCCAAATTCAGGAAGGAAAAGGATGGAGTTTGGACTCTCTGCTGTCCTGGAACTTTTGACCTGGAGACTCAGAAGACCTTTCCCCACAGAAATAACCAACCAGCTGACAAAGAAAGTAGGATCATTCCTGACATTTAAGGGTGCTGAAGGAATTGGAGCAAAAGTATGAGAGCAGCAGACAGGGCAATGGGCCCCAGTCCCACGTGGAGGCCAGACCGGAAGAAAGGAAGGCCTTGTCTAAGACCACCTAGAAGATGCTGGCAGGTGGGGACGGGGGTAGGGGAGGGCAGAAAGGATCAAACTTCCTGTGAGGAAGCCTGCGGTCTGCGATTGCAGGGAGCAGGAGAGGTAATACCCCTAATGTGGCTCAGAAGTCAAGTCTCAATCTGCAAGCAGCATTACCCCTGGAATCCAGGTAGAGAAGATTTCATTTTCCTCAAACATCAGTGGGACACAGATGAAGACGATGCGGCTCAGAAGAGAGAGGGACAGCTTTAAGGAGGATAGAGTGTGGTCTGTGACCAAGCCGCGTACCTGAATTTGTCTCTCTGTCTGCAACCTATAAAAATTCCACCTAATATCCTGTAGTGCTTTTTAATTTTTAATTTTATTTTATTGTTTTATTGTTTAAAGTTTTACCTAAGTCTCCTTTTTCCCCAACTGACCCCCCGCCACGTGTAGTGCTTTAAAAAGACAACGCTTTCATAGGCAGACACATTACATTTAACCCCCACAATGTTCCCCTTAAGAAGGCATTTTATTTCTACTTTACATTCGTAAGAATTAAGTTAGGAAAGGTCAAATTGGCAGACTTTAACCAGCCATGTGAAATTAGGCAAAAGCTAGAACTCAAATTTTGAGCCTAAGGCCTTTTCCCACTGATCACAATGGCCTCTTATGAGCAGCATCAACCAATCCATGGGAAATTGTCCAGCTCTCCTGAGTCTGTCCCTTCCTGTGGCCACAGCCATCCCTTGAGGTGTGGCCTCATCGCTTTGTGGGCATCCCTGCAATAATGTGCCTCCACTATGGCCAGGTCAACCGTCTAAAAACCCTGCTGCTGTACCCACTCCACTCTACTCAGAAGGACCCGCTGCTCGGCGGTCCTTCCCTCGCCCTGGCACTAAGGACCCCCACTGCTGCCTGCCTGGCCTGCCCCCTCTGCTTTGCACTAGACCCTGGGCAGCAGGAGCAGTGTCTCTGCTGTGCCCCATGGGAGTGCAGTTACCAGGGACATGCATTTATACATGAGCCTCAACAACAGGAGCGCAGCCAGAGAGAGAGAGAGAAGAGACCCAAGTCAACAAGTGCATGGGAGGTGGGCTGTCACCGCCCACACACTTCAGTGTGGGCATCCCTCATGCTGACATCGTTTTTGGTTCTCGCTGAACACACTTTTTAAATAACACTCCCCTAAACTCAAGTCAACAACGGAAACTGAGCTCTGTTAGGCAGAAGCCTAGACACGCTGGTTTCCTGAGCCTGCCGCCGGGACCCTCAGGAGATCCGAGGTCCTGCGCATGATTCCTGTCAGGCACTGGTCCAAGACCTGGCTCGAGCCGGAGACACGACCTCCCTGTGTGCAGCTCACCTCAGTTCAGTGAGAAGTGTTTACCCAAAATATCTGGGTGTTTACCCAAAAGAACTGAAATCATCACCTCAAAGAAATACACTCCCATGTCCACTGCAGCACTAGTCACAGCGGCCTCAGTGTCCATCAGCGATGACTGGACAGAGAAAGTTGTCTATACGTGCAATGGAATATTCAGCTTTAAAAAGAAGGAAATTCTGCCATAATTGACAGCCTGGATGAAACTTAAGGACCCTATGCTAAGTGAAATAAGCCAGTCACAAAAGGACAAATACTACAAGATTCTGTTTGAGAAATCTAAAATAGTCAAATTCACAGAATCGGAGAGTGGATCGGTGGCTGCCAGGGCCTCTGGGGCCAGAGTACTGGGGAGTGACTAGCAACAGGAATAAAATTTCAATTATACAAGAAAACAAGTCCTAGCGACTTGCTGTAGATGCTGTCCTATCACACATCCTGCACACTAAAGCTGTGAGACAGCAGATCTCATGTTGTGTTCGTATCACAAAATAAAACTAAAAAAACACGTGAAGGTGTGGGTCAGAAAATTCGGGAAAACGAGTGCAGAGCCCTGAAGAGGGAATGAGCTCAGTGTCTGACCTGCATGGCTGGAGGGCAGACGTGCGTGAGGGGAGTGGGGAGAGCTGGCTTGGGTGGGCTGCAAGGAGCCACTGGAGTTCCAGCCCAGAGCTGACATGACCTCTGACCTGCTTGGTGCTTTTCAGCATCCCTGGCTGTTGGGAGGAGGACCACCGGGGATGCTGATGAGAACAGTCCGATTTCATGTTAATTAGGGCCCAGAAACCTGGTCCACCCAGAGTCCAGTGGCTCCCGGGCCTGCAGAGGCTGTGGCAGCTCCACACTAGAGCGAGGGTTGAAATGTCAGACTCCTAGAGAACTGGGCGTGCTTGTGGGAGATGACTTTTTGTTTGTTAGGCTCCCTCGCTGAAACATTTTCTTAAGTGACTGCTTTTCTGTTCTCCATTTTCATTTCCCTTTAGTGACTTTTGTTAATAGCTGATCTTTCTGCCTGCCGTTTCACACGGGACAGGCACGGCCGGTCTGCTGGGAAGTCGGACACCCTCCCTGGCTCGCACGCCCGAGGCGCTGTGCACATCCCCGCAAGGCACAGAGCAAAGGAGGCCACTTACCTCGCCGCAAAGTATGAGGACTGGAGCCAGTGGAGCTGTGCGCTGGGCTGACGGAGAGCTGATGGGAGCTGGCAGGGGGCTGCCCCTGCCCCTGGCTTTGGCCACTGGCCACCTGAATGCTGTTTCTTCCCGGCGCCAGTGTGGGCACAGCTGTAGCTGCAGAGTCCTTGGGCTTGGGAGGACTGAGGGGAGTAGAAGTCCAGTTAGATGGCAGGTAGGCAGGCCCAGCCGGAAAAGCTAAGCACACTAAACACAATGAAGTTTAAATAGTTCGCACTGTCCTAAAGAGCTAGCATTTACTGGGTGCCACACAGGACTCACTGCATCAGACTGTCTTCAACGCTGTGCCACTCAAACATCAAGAGAGAGACCATTTCACAGCAACCAGGACATTTCAAGTACTTAAACTGGGCAATATTTAAAAATGTGGAAGGCTTTCGAACTTCAAAATAATGCGATTTTGACACACGTTATACAAAACTAAGCAAAAGCTATGGCCAAGCACGAAAGCTCTGGAATACAAAGTGCTCAGCTGCCATCACTGGTGTGGCCTCAGGAAAGAGGAACTCTGAGAAGCGAAGTGACGGAGAGCTCAGAGCTGGTGGCAGTGGGTGGAAATCAGAACTCAGGCCCTCGATGTCCTGGCTTAGAACTTCTCTCTACGCTCAATTTTACAGCTACATTTTGTCAAGGTCACCAAAGAGGGTTACACACAACCTCTAAAATACAGGGGTGAAAGAGCACCTGATGGCTGACATTCCCCCTGTCCTGCTGTAGTGAGGACTCATTATTGTCTTAAATAACATATTTAGCCTTGATTAGACCAATGGAATGCTATGGTAAGTAAAAATGTGAGTTCGCTAATACTATTTTCTCAAAGAAAAATAACTAAACCAAAACAAATACATGAAAGGAGTGGCAATGACTGACAAGCCAACATAGAGCCCTAGGAAGTTGAAGGTATTTATTTTTAACCAAAAAGTGAACTTCCCTGAGTTATGCAAGCAGAAAGGATTCGGGAACGCTCAGAGCTTTGTGGCCAGCTCTGAGGAGGTGGGAGTTTATCTCAGGCATCACCAGGCACGCTCTCCAAAGAAGATACTGTGAGAGTTCTTCCACACAAATCCATCTCCGTGTGGGGAAACTCCCCTGTGGATACACAGGCCATCCTTGTTTTATGCATTTATTTTCCTTTTTATATGATCGTTTGGTGCTTTATAGGCAGCCAAAGTAGAGCAAATGACGAGAGTCAGCACACCGCTCATCTTTTACAGCTGCTGCCAGCCTGCACCACCTGAGATGCCACCCGAGTGGTCATCTGCCCAGGTCAGTGTGAAGAACTAAATCCATGCAAGTTAAATAAAAGGTATTTTTCCTTGGAGTTGCTATACATTTATAGTCCACTCCAGGTGACTGAGCAGAAAGTAAAACAACAGAAAAGCCTTTTCAGAAAATCTATCATCATATTTCATACCTTATTCTCATGTATCAACTCCCTACAAGACAGAAAGCTAGGGAGTCACCTGGTGTGCCTGGTACAGCACTGGCACATACTACTCAGTACTCAGGTATTCAGTGAACCTGACTGGATGGGGGGATGGGTGGATGGATGGACGCACCAGGAATATTATAACCTTACTTGCTACATTGAAACGTTTACTACTAGCATATTGGATGACAATAAGCAAATGGTACGCAAATACTGAGTACACATCAAACAGGGGAAAGAGATTTATAACATTGCTAGACACCTCCTGGTTTCCAGCTCCCAGCACTGAAGCAGTTCAGTAAAGAATGCAAACAAATGTGCATTCTTTGGAAAACAGGAAAGGAAGCAAGCAATTTAGTCTTTTTCTCCATCCAATGCTCACCAGAGGAAGAAGGCAAATATGTTTTCCTGCATGCCAGGTGACTCTCAGGGCGTGGGTGCTGTGCCTACAGGCCAGCACCTGCAGGAAGGCGAGGGCGCCCAGCACCCACTGCCAGCAAAGCCAGCCCCCTTACCTGCTGTCGCCTGGGCTCGGCCCCTGCTCCAGTGCGCACGCAGAGGAGGGAACAGGCCCACCCCCTGCGCTGCTTTCAGCCCTAGAGCTCTGGGAAGGGGGCTCTGGGCCCGCAGGAGCCAAGGTGCTGCCATCTGTGGGCGGGAGTGGCGGCTGGAAAGCAGGGGATACGTGCTTTCTATTTAGGGTGCCACCCCGCCGGTAGGCCTGGAAGTCCATAAGCTTCACACCAAAGCTACACAGAGAGAAGAAACAGTCAACACACCATGCGAGCCAATAACAGACAGAAGCCCATTGGTCCACGCGTGTTAAAACCCACACGGTACAGCCACCCAAGTTGCCCAGCATGCGGTGAAGCAACAAGGACCAGGTGGATGGCCATCCCTAGTACCGAGGCAAGCAACTCGACTTGGCCTCTCCCCTGCGAGAGCCAATGGGCCTGGTACTGACCAGAGTCCTTCTCAATTGCGCAGGAGCAGCTGACACACGCAGGCAGACCACAGCGTGAGTGCGTGACATCACGTGAACCTGTTTAAGTCCACGTTACCACACACAAGCGCATGGTCTCAAATGTGTGTGTGGGAGTCCTACCAGGGCCTCTTCAGCCCTGGGCAGAGGCAGGGGTGTGAGCAAGAGCAACTGAAAGCGTAGGGCTGGGAAGCTGCTTGGGGGCTGGACCTGGGGACTGGAGGACAGAGGAAGGCTCACTTCCACTTAAGCCCACTGTGTATAAACTTTAAAACTTCTTTGTTTTTGGTTCAAAATATAAGAAGATTTATGGCTCCCTGAGCATGTGTTTCTGGTGGGAGCCTCCCCAGGCAGATGCCAGAGAACTGCTTACTGTGTGCTAACTAGAACCCTAGTTTAAGGAACATTCTGTAACTTAAATACATGAAGGCAGATCTGCTATGGCCGCTTGTCATCAGGAAGCATTGCCGCTGTGTGAAGGGAAAACTTCTGCACAGCAAACGTGGCTTCAGAGGGACAGAAGAGGAAAGCATTTTCCTTTGCAATGGGTTAAAAAAAAACAGAACAAAAAGACAAACCTCACTCTAAGACTGGGCAACTAAAATAAGAGCTTGTGTTTCAATGCAATGACTTCGGGTGACAGTACCACCTCCACGCAAACAGGCACGCCCTGAGCAGCGCCTCTGCCACCCAGCCCTGCTGTGGGCACAGCGCCTTCCCTCGCAGCCCTCCGCGACCTGAGAGCCCTCCACCTGAGCCGGGAGCCTCTACGGAGACGTGCGGCTCCCGCTAAGTTCAACACAGACCCTTCTCTTCCAGAATCAGCCAGACTGAGGCTTCTCAGCTGAGCATCAGATTCAGTGCTGGCTTCCACCAAGGGCCCAAGTTATGCCAAAAATATGCCTCTTTTAAACAATCACACAACTCACCGTTGAGTGGTGGGTTGTTCTCATGCCCACTCTTGGACGTAAGTCCATAATGTTTAACTTTATTCTTATTCCCTCCACCCCCCAGTCAAGTACATTTAGGTGACGTGTAAGATGCCAGTGCACCGTGGGGGCGACCGAGCAGCAGGTAAAGTGTGAATGCCCACAGCACATGTGGCCTGAGAAGCTGGCACCAACTTTCTGGCCAGAGCAAGGTTTGCAATGAACTAGAGCTGAGTGCTGAAACTATCTGGGCTCTAGCAGGCCTGGGCCGCACAGGCCTCCGAGGCAGTACTGCCGCCGAGGGTTTAACAACGCTGGTTTGAAGTGATTGCTCTCACACACCTCTCCTTCTTCACCAAGTCCCCTTCCATCACTGCCATGCTGGCAGGTCGCTTCCTCTCCAGGGTCCCCGAGTCAGAGTCATTTCCAGTGTGGGATGAGTGGTTGGAGTTTGGGGGGGCAACAGGTACGAATGCTTCTGATACATTAAATTCCACCTCTGCAGGAAGAGAAAGGCACAGTGAACATGAGATGCAGAGGCGGGGGGGGAGGGGGGGTGAGGGGGGTGTAAAACACCCCTGAAACAGGAACTTCCTCTTCATCTGTGAGCCTCACTACTTCCTAAGCAGAAGCCTCATGAGATGCAGAGGCGGGGGGGGAGGGGGGGTGAGGGGGCTGTAAGACACCCCTGGAACAGGAACTTCCTCTTCATCCGTGAGCCTCACTACTTCCTAAGCAGAAGTCCACACTCTCCTCTTCTACAGGACGCTGACTACACCAGGGAGGCAGGACGGGACCAGACGGGGGCACGACTCAGAACATGTACACGACTCTGCTGTCTTTTTGTAAACAAACACAAATACGAAAAAGGGGCATGGATAACTTATTTGAATAATGAATGTGATATTATTCAGTACATAAAATGAGGGGCATGGATAACTTATTTGAATAATGAATGTGATATTATTCAGTCTGACATAAAATGGAAATAAAAGGCAACGTGAACTCCGTACTGCCTACAGCAGCTTTCACATGCCTCTTTTTCTCCAAGGAGATCTGGGGCAGAATGCCAAGCGGAACCTTAGTTCTCGAACTTAATTCATTCCAGGAGGCTGCTCGAACACTGAAGCATTTTTCCCTTAGAAATAATGTAAATTGATTAATCCATTCCAAATGATTCCCTGTTTTAACCCTTCTTATATACAGTGCATGTCTAATGTATTGTTTAATCTATAAACACTTTAAAAACAAAAAGGAAATGAAATGTACAGTAAAAAATGAAAATTTAGTAGTAAGAAGCAGTAACAAAAGCAAAAACACATAAAAATATTTACAGTACAATTTCCTGAGATGTTAACTGTACTGACTCATGCTCGTGCATTCTCTCTGCTTATTGCCTGAGATGCGCGACTGATCATACAGGCATCAGCACGAACAAGTTGTCAGTTGAGAAGTGGACTGTTTGAGATGGGAGACACTGAGAACCGAGGTGTAACTGCACTCACTCATTCACTCACCCACCCTACATTTCCTGAGCAGCCTCCGGCGTGAGGTGTGGGTTCTGAAGAAGACTGGTGAAGAAGAGATGAGCGTGGCCCTGGCATCGTGGAACTTACACTCCAGGGGACCTGACATCAGGGCTGCTCCGGCAAAGTAGGGACGGGAGGTCCAGACGTGGACCAATCTTCCAACACTTGCCCAGCCAGTACCCTCAAAGGGGCCATGGAGTCTAAGATCCCAAGACTGCAATGCAGGTAGTTTACAAACTGATTGCCTATAGCAGGGGTGGGGAACGCCTGGCCCATGACAGTATAAGGCCCAAGAAATCATTTGGTCTGGCCCTGCCAAGGCATTAGGGGTGATTAATTAAATGTTAGACCAAATATAGTAGGCTAATTTTTAAGTTGATAACTTTGTATGGCCCGCAAATCTATATTATATATATGTGTGTGTGTGTGTGTGTATGTATGTATGTATGTATGTATATATATATAGCTAATATGCAAAGTGTCCCCACGGGAGTTCGACTGGGAGTTCTATCGCTCGCTATGATGTGTGCTGACCACTAGGGGGTGGCGTGGAATGAAGGAAGGCCCTGGCTGGCAGCCGGAAGGCCCCGATCGGCCCTGATCACCAGCCAGGCCTAGGGACCCTACCTGTGCATGAATTTCGTGCACCAGGCCTCTAGTGATGTTATAAATATCCAAATGGCCCTTGGCAGAGAAAGGTTCCCCACCCCTGGTCTAGAGGATGAAATCCAAATCCTGACAGCCAGCTCAGAATGGGCCCAGCCAACCTTTCCTGCTTGCTCTCTGCTCTGCACAAAGCCAACCATCTGCCTAGAGAAACAAAAAGCCTGCCTCCAGAGGAAACTCCTGCCTGTTCAGTGCTGCCTCTTCTATCACACAATCCGACTCCCTTTCCCAACCTCTGAGTCTGTCAAATCGCTGTTCACCCACCTATCCTTCTAATTTGCCATGTATTATAATTTCTCTGTTTACGTGGCCTCTTGCAGTGGTCCGAGTTCCTCCAGGGAAGACAGCAAGCCTTACCAGCACACATATGGCACCTAGTGGGTATTCAGTATATGCTGAAAATGAATGGTTGGTGTTAAGTGAAACACAAAATAATGGGGTCACCATGATGTCAAAATACAAATGCAAAGCAACAGTCTGGAAAGAAACATGAAAAAGAAACACCTGGGCAGAATCAATAATGTGGATGTTGAAGTTACTGTGGATGAAGTCATTAGGTGGCATCAGCCTAAACTCCTATGTTCGCACACATGCACACACACACACACACACACACACACACACACACACACAGATGCAAATGAGGGAGAAGAGAGACCAACCTAGATCAACATAGCTAGAATTGAAATGAGGTCTGTGAGCTAGGTATCAAGCTCTCTGTGACTGATGATATAAAAGTGAATACCAGTGGTTTATTACACTTTGATTTTGAAATTACTCAATAAATTCCAGAGATGTATGTGCAAAAAAAAAAAAAAGAAAGAAAGAAAAAGAGACACCTATTATGCCATCACAAAGGATTATTGATGCATTTGCCCTTGAAAAAGACTTTTCACACTGTTACACTATTATTGCGTTGCTCTTGCAGCCAGTGAAGCTGCAAAGCTAATTACCTCCAGGGAAGAACCAGTCGGCGTGCTGAATGATGGGTTCGATGACCGCGACCACGTGCACGGAGGTGGCGGCTGCCATCTCAGCCAGCGTCCTGCAAGGAAGTGCACAGAGTTCACACGCTTCCCTGGGCAGCCTATCATTTCCCTGGTCTGGCTCAGAGCCATTCCATGACTTTCAAAGGATGAGATATTTGAGAATAATGCAAACGGTAAATCCACAAGGCCCGGCCTATGTCCATGTGGGTCACCCCGATCAGTCTGCCCTGAGATAGTCACACTGCCAGGAAGCCTGTGATGGCTGTACTCAATGTTGGGCTGACACTGGCTGGGGCAGGGCTGTGCTTCCCATGGGGACGGTGTTACCCATGGTAGTGACTGGTGAGACCCAACATCACACGCAACAATTTCACCTACTACAGAAGCAAGGACGTGGATTGTGACAGCGTCCCTCTGTCATGTCAGAAAACATGAGCCCCCATTTACATGTATTGTGAAGGTTGTCATATATATGAACAGGTCCCAAGATGCATGCTCACAAACTGAAAGTGTCTGGAAAGGGATCAGAAGGAAGAGCATAAGTGAGAATAGTTACCCCGCTACCCAGCATGTTCCAGTTGGGGTCAGAACACCATAAAAGCAAACAGGGTGGGGGAGAAACCAAGATGACGGCATAGGTAAACACCGGAGTTTGCTGCCTTGAACAACCACTTCAAAAATACAACTAAAAGACGGAACGGACATCATCCAGGGACCCAGACTCATAGGGAGAAGCGGGACTGTCTGGCATCGGTCAGAACCCGAGGGCAGCTTTCTCTCCGAGGGGCTTGCAGTGATTACCGGGACACTGAGAAGCAGAGCCTCTGAGGGCAAGTCTGAGAGCAGCCATAACTGCTAGCCCCGCCCTTTTGATCCCGTGGGACCCGCCCCGCCCAAGCCCTGCAGGGAGGCTTTTGCTGGATAGCCTGAGGCAAAGGCTAGATTAGCACCTCCCTAGAGATCCAGGAGCCAGGAAGCCCAGAGGTCAGAGTGGGACCATCCAGTTTGCAGCTCCCTGGAAACATAAAGGACACACTCAGGGGGCAGACTCAGTGAGCACCAAAGCCCCATTGAAGCAAGTCTTGCCCCAGAGGGGTGTCTCCAGCACAGAAGTTCTCCCACTGCAGACACAGCTGATTCTCACAACCAATTGGCCTGGAGGTCAATTCCTCCCAGTGATAACTACAACAATCAAGCCTTAACTACAACAAGACTGTGCACAAAGACCACAAGGGGGTGCACCAAGAGTGTCTACCTCAGGTAATTGGGACACTTAGCACAGAAAGGCAC